AGGAAGACTTTTGAACTTTGCTGTCCCTTCACCCTTCCTCAGGAGGAGGAAATCCAGCAAATCTGGTTTACAGACTTGTAAAGACATTGACTGCTGAGAGGGAGTTCTTCTAATGGGGCACTTAGGGACTATGGGGACACCACAGTCACCACTGACAATCCTTCTGCAAATAGTGAACCAACCAGAGTCTCCACAACTTCTCTAAGTGGCAGCTTTCGCTAACTCCCCAGGGACAAATGGTTTGTTTTGAAGATAATTATCCCTATAAGCAGAGCTTCCTCTTGAAACAAACATTTCCTTGAGGGGACCCAGGTACTTTCTGGGAAGAAATTAAATGTATCTTTTAAACTTGCATTTCCTCATGCCCATATTGAAAATAATATACAAGAAACTAAAATTCTGTAAATCAAAATTTCTTCCCATCTTCCTTGGGCTTGGTGTCTCAGCCATAAAAAGAGATACTTCTAACCTGAGCTCTAGCTGGGGAGAAAAAAAGAAAGAAAGAAAGAAAGAAAGAAAGAAAGAAAGAAAGAAAGAAAGAAAGAAAGGAAGGAAAACCTTTGGAAACCCAGCCTTATCTGCTCTCTTTAATAATTTTCATGAAAGAAAGATGAAGCTCATAGGATACAAGGACTGTGTCTGGTTTCAATTTTGTTTCTTCTATAAAAAGTCAACACTTCCTGTGAGTATTATTAGACAAAACAAATAAAGTATCAGAGACAATTATTTTATTAGCTTGGAGAAAGTACAAGCTGAAATTGATCATTTCTTCAGGTTTTGGCAAAATTAATGAATATTGGTTCTTTCCTCTCCCTGTATTTTAAAAGTGTAATGTGACTCTTGAGGCCAATTTGAAGGCAGCATTGTTTTCATTTAAATTCCAGTGTTCCCCTTTTATTAAACTACTGGAAGACAAAGGAAATTAATCAGCAGTGAACCTGATTCAAGGCATTGGAGTTGTTTATGCAATTATGATTCACGTAGCTGACACAACTGACTATACTCATTTATGTATGAAATAGAATCCTTGAGTGTCATTCACACAGAAGAATCTATTCCTTTCACAAGTATTTGCTTACCTCTGCCTTCTTAACATCACAACAGGACGCTGCATATGACTTTCATGTTTTTTGTGTGTCATACAGGGTATGTGATAAGTTGTTATATCCAAAAAGTTTTAAAAATCATTTTGAGCTATGTACTACTGTATTTTATGCACAAATTTGATTTTTTTCCTATTAGTCCCACAATCAAAAGTTGCCTTCCAGCACCAAGACCATGACAAAGAGGTGGCTTCATGCCTCCTTTATCAGATAATTTTACCTGATGAATACATTGATCCTAATTTCTAAGTAGATAAAGTAACACCCCTGTTTTCTGTTCTGTCTGATACTCACTTCCAAGTAAAGAAACCATCAGAATTATCCATAAGTTACTAATGTGGGTATATGAACTTATAATTTCCTCTCCTAGATCCTAAAGCACATAGATATATGGGAAGACAAAGACGGGCATAATTGGGTTAAAGGGGAGGAAAAAGACACATGGAAGGTACTCTTCCATTAAGATGTGTTGACTCAAAGAACAAACCCTGACCTAAAAGGAAATAAGAGATGGTTTGTTTGGCTTGGGATCCATGGCTTGGGAACACAGATGTAGGTTTCCCTAAATTCCATGTTCCACCCTGGAAGCAATTCCATGAAGTTTTTATAGTACCCGAACAAAGAAACTCACAGACCAAGACATAGTATGAACAGAGAGAGGAGGGTGAGTCTACATAGGCCTGAGATGCTGTCTTAGCATTGTTAGCTGTTTGATTAGTGGAAACTAGGGCTTTGTTAAGTTAATGCATTCTAAGATGGTTTTACCTATTAGTCACAGGACATTAGGTGACACAGAAATAGGAAACGGATGGCTATTTGTAGGTAGGGCTAAAGATGGCTCCAGATAAACTGTAATTAGGCTCTGGATTTCCAACAAGCATTATCACCAATGTTCTAATGGGTTGATCAGGCTTGCTAAGGGTTCAGCCTAAAGATTTAGCTTCATTCTTGGAACTTCTGTTCACGGGTGAGCAGGAAAGATTGGGGGGGGGGCGATCATTTTCTTTGGGCTGTTGTGGCACACTGAAGCCCCATTTGTGCCAACAGTTGGTTTTGAGTTTTCATTTCTCAGTTGAGATCCTGGGTTAAAGTAACAACATTCGTTCCTCAAAGCAACAGTCAGCTTCATGTCCAAAAGCCTGTTGACAAATGCTATTGATACACACGTTAATTTCCAGCCAACAAAAGACCCTGGGATACTTAGATCCTACAGTGTAGGAGAGAACCTGGCCCCTACAAATAGCTTGCCATCTTACAGAAGAAAACCGAAAAACTAAACATAACTGTGTAACGTGACAGAACTTCTCAATAGGTTTTTCTTAAGTGCTTTTTTGTGTATGAACACAAAGATACCTTGGCTAATTTTCATTCTTGCAACAGTGGGCATGGAAATATTTTCAATCATCTCTTCTGAAGATGGGGGAAGCCAAGTCTTTTAAGTGCAGTAGAAAGTTCCACTGAAAATATATAAAGGGAGATAGCAGAGATAAGGGGAGAGGTTCCTTAATCCAAGCCACGCCTTCGTTCCACCCCATCAGATACATGGGCGTGCCTGATAAACTACCCAACTCGGACTAATGTGGGAACCCCTTTCCATTTCCCCCTTTTGGCATATCTGTCATCTTGGTGATGGTCAAACAGTTGTTTCTGCTCCATTGCACTTGGCCATTAGACAGATTCCTCCCTCCCCTATCTTTCCAACAGCCATATTGCCTTACTGCAGTTAAACATCTTGCTCATTTAGACAGTTTTTTTGGGGGGAGGGGTGCATGAACTTAATTTGGTGTCTGGCTGTTAACTTCAATGTTTTTCCGTTCAGTTGCTTCCCCAAAAGACAAAAAGTCAAGCGTTCAGCAAGTAACACTTTTTTTCTTCTCTGGTGTTCCTCATGACCTGCATGCTGAGAGGGAGCAGGCAAAGGCTTTTGTAAGAATGGCTCTCTTGTTTGTCCATTTCTGAGGCTCATCCCCCCGGGATCGATGCTCTTTCCCCTGGAGAAGCTGCAGAGTTTTATCCACACAACACTTGGAGCAGCATGGAAATATGTGACCTAAGAATTAACACTTCATCATCCCCAGTCTCTCTCCTCACATTTAATAGGATTGCTGAAGCCTTGTTTCAGTGCTGTGTGGCACACGGACTTGCTAGAGTGGCCACAGGGACAGCTCTGGCTGGCCTGAGCTGAAAAGTC